AGGTGCAAGTTTAGATTTATTTTCAGTTAGTATTTTGTAAATCCTCTTTTGGTAGAAATAATAGTTTCCAAATGTTTCCTGTGGATAGGTAGCAGATTATTGTTGATGTTGAATTCACCCACTCTATTTTCTTATAAAAATTTTCAACCTTAGAAATAATCTTATGTCTCCTTGTACATACTTCACGTTTGAGATATTCCCATAGATTCTAAATAAAATCGAAATCTAGGAACTTTAAAGGTCATTACAAACCTTTTAGCTTCATTTTTTTCCCCGCTGATTATAGGACATTAGCTGCTAGGATGTATTGATATTAAAATGGAATCCATTCTTCTGTCCACCCACACAAGTATTTCCTGTGCCACCTGGTGCCATTAATAGAGCCACCCCCGTGCTTAACTGGATGTTCTCGTCTTTAAATGCTTCATCCTTTTTTTCTCCAAATATATCTTTTGTAATCATGGTGAAATCATTTTGGTTTCATCACTCCAAAAAACATTGTTCCCAATTGTTTCAGGCTTATCAAGGTTTTTTTTCCCATGCTTTAGATAATTCTTTTCTGATGAAGGTTTCTTTCCAACAACTTTCTGATAAAGATCACTGCGATATAATCAATGTTTTACTGTGGACCCATGGACAACTCTTCAGTATCAGCTAATCTTTTCAACAAGCTATTTATGTTGATCTTTTTGCAGATCTGGGAAATTTGGGTACCGTTCTAGGGGAAATCTTTTTCTTGGCTCTCAAACTAATGTTGGGTATTTTAGCAAGATAATAGTCCTTAACTTTGGTACCAGGTACTTAGAGGAAAGAAAAAAAGGTCTCTGAACGTATAATAAATTGTTCTAAAAAATGGCCTGCAGCTATATGTGATTGACCACAGTGAGATCCTCAGGCAGCTTGTTGTGAAAGTAATCTTCTCAAAAGAACATTTCTGCATTGAATATTGGAGAAGAGGCCGGCAGCTATCTCCAAGGAGAACCGAACTGCCAGCTGCTAATCTATGATTCAGAATACTAATGGACTGAATCCCAAATGTCAGCATCCTATGCATTTCAAAGATAACATCTGTTTTAGTTACTGCAAAACACGCTACTGGAAGTCTTTCAGCAAAATAACATAAAATCAGAATAATTTCTTTAGACTGTCATAGCTTAAGTAATCTATTCATGAAGAGTTTTCTGTTTTCCATTTCACATTATATTGTATAGCATGTAATTTTATGCTGAATATTTAAAACTGACAGGATTTAAAATACATTTCCTCCATGTACACATATGTATACAGAACTCATAATTAATTATTACATAATTCCTTCTATATTCTGCCAATAGAAGTATCTCTAGTTTCTTACTATGGACGCAACAGATTATATCTCTCTCAATTCACCAAACCACATTCATTCTACATAGGTAGGACTTGCTTATATTCTAAACATTATGCCAGATACTATAAGAGAAAAAAAAAGTTTTCTATCTATTTTATGACTTTTTATGAATCTTACAGTTCAGAAATCATGTTGTTTCACTATCTTAGAAAGTTAGTAATATTTTTCAATACAATATAAGCAACTGAAACTTTCAGAGAAATAAATTATAAAAATTAATCATCACTCCAATTAATAAGGCAAATTGAAAGAACATTTCTCCTGGTGAGGCGAGGCATTAGCTGCAAAGAAATGGCATTATTTTAGCACTCAAAAAGCTGCAATTTAAGGATAATAGGAATAGGAGGTTTCTACACTTACTCCTTTAGCAGCAAATGTATATTGCATTGTAATAGGTGGCTAAATGAACAACTGTTTAAATTATATCATCTAATGTTCTAGAATTCCCCTGAATATTACTTTATAACTTGATTATACAAGTTTTAATTTCACCCGTAATTCATTTTCATGATGCAGTGCTTTAATTCAAAAACATATAGAAACAAATACTACATGTATATATTTCTTATTGAAGTCTTCTATAAAGATCATATATATTACTTATTCAAAAATAAAGTTTGTTTCTCTCATTTGTGCCAGATATATCAAAATATTCTTTTTTAAATCAGAAACTATTGCACAGATTGTTGGGAACACAATGATTACTGATAGGTAGTCCTTGACTTACAACAACTCATTTAGTGACCATTCAAAATTACAATGCAAAAAGTGACTTTTGACCATTTATCACACTTACGACTGTTGCAGCATCTCCATGATCACATGTTCAAAACTCAGATGCCTGGCTGATATTTATGAGAATTGTAGTGTCCAGGGATCATGTGATCAACCTTTGTGACAAGCAAAATCAATGGAGAAGCCACATTCACTTAACAACCATGTGGCTAACTTAAAACTCCAGTGATTCACTTAACAACTGTGGCAAAGCAAGGTTGTAAAATGGGGCAAAATTAACTCCACAAATATCTCACATATCAAAAGAGATTTAGGGCTTAATTATAGTCAAAAGACGAGGACTATCTGTATTTGTATTGTGTCTCACTGAGCAATCATAATGACACAATTTTAAATCTTTAATGTTTTTTAGTTTGTAGCACAGTTTCTCAAAAAAACGAATACAATATTTGTAGTTCTTCAAACAAAATTTATACGCATTTAAGAAAAGACTAATATTCCAATAATCTTTATTCTGTTTAAATAAATGTTTTTCTATTTTTTTTACAAGAAACAAACTGAAACATTTGCAAGAGCAATTTTTTTTACTGTTTTTACTGTTTTGATTCTTACATTTTTTTAAAATATGAAAGCCAATGGATGCACAAATGACCATTTTAAAGTACTTATTTTTACCACTACAAGCTAGAAAAGAACTATATCACTATATATTTGGTTACTCCTATGATTATAGTCTTTAATATAACAGGAGTTTATTATCCAGTGATTCTGGATATCCTGGTGATTTTTTCTCTTAAATAATTAAAACTATTTTTTTCCACTTTAATCCAGAGAGGAACAAAGCCTGAGGATGTTGCAGGATTTATAGGAAGTGTTCATCCTTTTGTACATTTAGCAGAAAACAATAGCCTTTCATGATAATTTTCTTAGAATTTTAATATACTTTTTATACGCAGCATTTTGTTGCAATTCATTAATGTTTGGTTGAGTCAAAATGTTCAAGGAAGTTCCAAAAATTCAATAATTGATAATTTCTTAGTGCTTGATTTTTCTTTATTTTTTAGATTATTGGAGGAAAAAATACTAAGAACTTGAACAAAATATTGCTATATGGTCCTCTATATGCGATAAAACTCATCAGGATCTTTAAGTGGTCAAAATCGAAGGGCAACCTTTTTGAACCAAGGAATGTATCCAAAAGTCAAAAGCCATGGCTCCTGGAAGAATGAAATTTGGGAAACTTGTGGCTGCTTCAGGGCTGATGCTATACTGTTGGGCTTGACATGCAATCCCCCAACTGTAATTTATTTATAATCTTTCTCTTCATATTGACTGTTTTCATTTATTTGCTTTTACTATTTATAAAACATATAGCATTTGTTGCCGCTATTTTAAAAAAAAGCTTTTGGAAGTTCAGCAAAATCACATTGGTTGTTATTTTTTCATGAATTATGGGAAGAGTTGAAAGATTCAGACCCCCAAAATCTGCTTCTATCATGAAATTAAAGGACTTTCCCCATGAGCAGAAAAACATCTTTCAATCCTGTGGAAAGAAAGCCTTGCCGTGACCAGCACAAACTGAAGAGCATTGCACCACACCTGGACTTCAATTATAAAAGGAAAACTGTGAGCTCCAGAGTGTGGGTTTGTAACTGCATTTGGAAAAATATTTATATTGTGTGGGAAGTCAAGGAATAAATTTTCAGCTGAGGGAGTGGAGCCATCAACTTCAACTGGCAACTGATGACAGAGGAGGAGCAAGCTTGGACTTCAGAAACCAGCAGCAGACAAGTTGAAAGGAGAAGCACAGCCCAGAAGCTTCACTACTCTAGCAGAAATGCTGCAAAGCTCCAGCCAGCTGGCTGTTGGTAAAGTACCTTCTTTTTCTCACTGCCAGCATAGACTGAGAAACTGCCAAGTCAATCCTTCAGCAGCAATTTAGAACAACAGCTGACAGCAAAAGAAGCCAAGTTGAAGGTAGTTAAATGATCGCTGGAGATTTTGACTTAAGCTCAAGCAATAGAAGGCAACAGAATTGTTATAAGGTGTTTAGGAATAAGATATAAACAATATAAATATAGGATAATATATCAAAGATCAGTAATAAGTGTCAAGGTACAAATTAGGGAAATAAGTTTGTTAAATTTTATATAATAAAAAACTGTTGCTCTATTTACGATTTCTCAAAAGAATTTGCTTAAACTGATGTTTACCATGGCTGATTAGTAATGGGCAGAACCAGTGGCTGGCCTGTAAAATCTGTCAATCTGCATTCAGGAACAAATCAAGCACCATCACACTTGGATACACATATTTGACAAAGTATCATCTGGTCTCTGGCTGCTTTCTGATATTATTTATATAACAAGGTTAAATTCTAGCTTGAAAAATAAGGCAATCTGATACTGGGCCAATCCATTTATACTGTCCCCAAATTTTCAGAATTATTTGTTTTGACTTGATTGGCAATTTTTTCTTAAACAACAGCTTATATGTTGGAATATGTTACTATTATCTTTTAAAACAATGATTCAAGCATTTTGAAGGCTATACAAAATTTGCTATATTTTAAATTCTGTATCTGTACATTAAATATACATTTCCTCTGGCATTCTTTTAATTTGATCACCTAGTGTTTAATCTTTTTTAAAAATTACCTTTATATGCCAGTTATTATACTACAGTAGTGTTAAATTAGTTCAAAGTGACTGTGAAACAGTATTGCTTGCTTCATCTTACATCAGTCTTATTCAGGAACAAAAAGCAATCAAAGTGCAGAATCCATGAATGAGACTCTTGCAAATTTACAAGAATTGTTTTTAATATTTATTGAATAAAAATTCATTTATATAAGATATGCTTGGGGAAGTAAACTCACCCAAAACAAGTAGCTCCACTGATTCCTCATTCTTGCCTTCTACATCGTCAGGTGTGATGACAAGGCAGTAATACAATCCACTGTCTCCCCACATCAGTTTTCCAATGTGGAGGTCTGCATCTAACAGAAAATATAAAACAAGCAAGAATCAAAGAGAGAGAGAGAGAGAGAGAGAGAGATAGCCTAAATCTAAATCTTATTGACAAATTAATTTTTTTTATCTGGAGTGATGAAATTTAATTCATTAAAAATACTACTGGAAAAATCAAGGTCTCTTCAGAGAGCAAGGGAATTAAGTTTTTTGAACCTGGGACTGTCTCACAAGTTTTTTTTAATTATTTGGCTTCCCAAAAACCTTTAGGCTGATAGCCATGGTAGCACAGTAGTTAGAATGAAGTACTGCAGGCTAGCTCACTGATAACTCCAGGAGTTCAGTTCTGAATGGCTCAAGGTTGACTCAGCCTTCCATCCTTCCAACGTCAGTAAAATGAGGAGCCAGATTGTCAGGAGCAATGTGCTGACTCTGTAAATTGTTTAGAGAGGGCTGTAAAGCTCTATGAAGCTGTATATAAGTCTAAGTGCTATTGAATAGTCATTTCAATTGTTTACAACCATTTTAGCAAGAAGTTATTAATGAGGATCAATGTTGGGTTTTATCTAATGGAAAAAGTAAACAACAATGTTGGAAATGTTTTGGACATATTGAAATATTTGAAGCAACATAATGAAAAACAAGCTGCATTGATTTTCCTAGATGCAGAGAAGGCCCTTGACAATTTGAGTTGGGCTTTCTTTCAAGATTTTGGAAAATAAAGAATTTTGGAGAGAACTTGATAAAATAAGAAAGATCAATTTCTTTCTTATAGGGAGGTCCACTGTAACTTCAAACAGTTGCTAAGCACCCAATCATTAAGTGAGCACTACCATGCAGAAAGAGAGCTTCTACATGTTGTACCCATAGAGGTAAATTGATAGTTGTACTTTTAATTGTTGCTAGATTGTATTTTTTTCTTTTACTTTTTACTCCTTTCTCATGCTATTAGCTTTTTTTATTTTTTACACTGTATTAAGGCACAAATATTTATCAGATGTAACTCAATGGCAATATTTATAGCTAAAACACTTATAGCTGACAACATTCTTTGTATCCGTAACATTTTCAGCTTCTGAGACACCAAAATACTAGAACTGATTAAATCTTTTAAAAATACAATTAGTTTTTCTAGATGTTTGTTACCATTTTTTTTTTTTTTTGGACTATGGTACGTGTTAGCCACAGATCACCAAGGTGGCTGAGCGCCTCAGTGAAAGGAATTTTTGGGGGCAGTGTTACTTTTACCTGCGGGACGTCTGAATGCCGGTAGGCAATCAGGGGACGCTCCTTTCTTGTCCCTATGCGGTTTATTCACTCACGGGAATTAAGCTGCCGACCTCAGAGGTGCACAGGTCCAGCATCTTACCACGTAAGTCACCGTGATCCCACGGATTTATTGTTACCAATAAATCAATATGATATACAGATGTTAAGAGATGGGGGGAGTAAAGTACTACAAGTTTATTTTTTAAACTCTTTAATAAAACATTACAAAAAGTTAAAATGATTTTGCTAAAACACAAGGATTTATTTTATAACATTGCATCAGAAAATACATGAGCAGCTTGAGAGTAACAGTATAGGTAGTCCTCGACTTATGATCACAATTAAGCCCAGAATTTATGTTGCTAACTGAGAAACTTGTTAAGTGAGTTTTGCCCCATTCTACAACTTTTCTTGCTACATTAAGTGATTCACTTAACAAATTAGTTAAATTAATAACACAGTTGTTAAATTAATCTGGCTTCCCCATTGACTTTGCTTGTCAAAAGATCACTTTATTCAAGGGGAGGTCTGCTAAATATTACAAGACTGGAATTTTACCAACCCTAAAATCTCACACTGAAAATCATTCCATAGTCAGAACAGCCTGTTTCAGGGTGGGACACTTCTGGTAAGATTGGAACAGCTTGTTCCAATATAGAAATACTTTGGTGAGAGTAAATGAAACATTTCCTGTGTGTGTGTGTGTGTGTGTGTGTGTGTGTGTGTTTGTTTCAGGGTGGACATTTCAACCTTTAATACACAAGTGTTGTGCTATAACAACATGAAATTACAGAATAAGTGTACTATTATTGGATCAGGAAACAAAGTGGCTCAATTCAAAACATTTTATAAATCTAGGAAAGGAAAATTATTGGCAACAAAAGTACCTCCTTCAGAAAGCATTCAAAGCCTGAGCAATACCCAAACAAGCGGATTTCTTTCAACTTGCATAATGAAATCTTACACTGAAGGATCTCCTCTGAAAATCTTAATGCAATGAAGGACAAAATGAAGGGAAGTGTGTTTTTAGGTTATTTCATTGCCAAATCATTAGGAAATTTAAAGGAGAAAATCAGCATAATCAACTGGGGCTAGTAACAAAAAGGAAGTCAATAAATCTTTAAGAATTATAAGACATAGCTCTATCTAGATCAGGAGTGTCAAACTCAGGCCCAGGGGCCAGATTCAGCCCATGAGGTGCTTAGATCTGGCCCACGGGACCGCCCTGTAAATAGCAAAGGCCCAGTCCACAATGTCTCTTCTAGGGAAAACAGAGCTCGGGGGCAGGCGTGGCCCCTCCAAACCCCATTTTTGGTGGCAACGGCCTGCTGCCCTCTGCCAGCAAGAATGGGGCATGGGGAGCTACGCATGCCCCCCTGAGGGGTCTGTTTTTGCTGGCAGAGGGCTATCAAAACAAATTAAAAACAAAAGGATAAATGTTTCCCCATTTGCATTTGAGCATGCAAGAGGGACAGGAAAGAAGAAAGGGAAAGAGGAAAGACAAAGAAAAAAGATGGGAAGATGGGAAGACAGCAAGGAAGGAAAAATAAGGAAAGAGGGATAGGAGGAAGAAAAGAGAATGAAGGCGGTAGGAAAAAGAAGAGGAGGGAGGGAGAGAGGGAAGGGAGGGAGCGAGAGAGGGAAGGGAGAGAGGGAAGGAAGGGAGGGAGCTTAGAATGAGAATGAGGGAGGGTGTCAGGGAAGTTCTGCATTAACATTTGGCCACCACAGGTGCCCTCTATACGAATTCCATGTCACGCCTTCCACGGCCACTCCTGCCTCCCTGGCCCTCGGAGGTCAAACACAACCCTGATGCAGTCCTCAATGAAATCCAGTTTGACACACCTGATCTAGATAAATTACACAAAATTTTAGTGGTTGAATTCTGCATGAAAGGATGCTTTAAACTCCTTTGAAGGCAGTATAATTCTATTCATAGCTAAACTTTACTAAAGGAAGCCTGTGGCAAAGTTATCCTTACCAGGAAAAGTTAAAGACAACATGTATTTCAAGCAACATAATCTCTTATGATAAAGAACTCCCAAAATACTCACTAGTTTATTGAGGGGCAAACTGAACTCTGATTTTTCAATTCAATGAACTGATCCTGTTGTCTACCATGTATCTGCATTCATTGCATACAAATGTAATACGGCTTGATTGTTTTTATTAAATAGATTCAGCAGAAGTTTGCAAATATATTCCTGATTTGGAATGTCTTTAAAGTTTATTTTAGATATTACTACTTTTACGCCTTATAAAGAAGAAACCCAAAATTAAACAAGAAAATCTGGAAAAAAATTAAAGAGCTTGTGGACACAAACGCAAGATATTCTATACCAGATTTATGTAAAGTATATAATAATATTGACTCATTGAAACAACTTTTCAAATTTTTATTCTTAACTGCATGATAATAAAGCTGTTTATCTGTTAAAGCTAGTAAAACTGTTTTCTATTCAGGAAAGAAATTAACTATTTATATATCATTCTTCTCAATGGTAACATCCACAAATCTGTCATGCTCTCCCCAAAGATATGCCTAGTATCTATTGTGTTTACTTTTTGATGAGTAAAATATCTTTTTTAGTTTATAATGTTTTTAAGAATTATTTATTTTTGATAATTATTGCCCATTTCTTAAAATATAGTTACATCGCCACCATTTGCAATTGTCCTGTTCATTTTAATGTTTTTTTAAATTTGTAGATACTTTAAATGTAAATTTACAGGATGCGTGAAGAGTGCTATTAAATATTTATAATAAACTATAATTAAAATGTTATACTAAGCTCTAAAAATAAAATATAATTTTTATTTATTCGCTTGTTTCTGCCTTTATTATTTTTACAAATAAGGTGGTGAACATATCCAAGACACCTTCTTCCACCTGTTTTCCTCACAATAACCCTCTGAGCTGGATTGGACTGCGAGAGTGACTGTGCCGAAGTCACCTAGCTGGTTTTCATGGCTAAGTCAGGACTTGAAGTCATGGTCTTCTGCTTTCTAGCCTGGTGCCTTAACCACTAGACCAAACTGGCTTTCATTTTATAAGCTACTGATTTTGTATGCTACTTATTTTATATGCGACTATTCATAATATACTGTACTGTTCATATCATGATGTACTGTACTATTCATAACATAATATACTATTCTCATTTTATATGCTACTATTCATAACAGGCAAAGAAAAACTTCAGTCATAATAAAATGATAAGCAGATTTGAATTACCATGGACAATGGAGATGTCTCTTCCTTTGTAGAACTCTCCTGTCGTGACCACCGAGCCCTGTTTGGATGCCACAATGCGGACAGTTCTCCTGCTATCCACACAATCCAAATACGGATCCCATTCCAAATTCCTCTTGTTTATTGCCTGGATCCCTGCGGAGACAACTCCCAGAGCTTCTCCCATGCGATCTTGGCAATAGGATTTGAATTTCCATTGCACCACAGCTGGTTGTGTTGAGGAAGTTGAAAACCGGCATCGAAGCACAACTGGTTGAAAGAGCATTGCTACCTGTTTCTTCTCGGGCACCATAACATGCACTGCTTCAGTCACAGCTACAAAGCAAAACCATAAATGTTACCAACTTGTAAGGTATATATCATCTATTTAGTATTATGCCCATTCCCAAATGTTAAATGGAAGAGGGCTGCTTTCTAAGACTTATAATCTAGCTGTGATGTTAGAAGGAACTGTGCCAAAAGAACATGGATAGCAAGATTACAGAATTTTAATGCTAGAAAATGGTAATCTGCTGTTTTGTCTACCATAAATAACAGTGGCTTATCAAGTCATATCTATGAGTTAGATTTCCTTTTGAGTTAACCGTTTGACATTTAATTTGAAGCAAAATGTGGCTGATCTTAATTCTGAGTTGCTTCAAAGAAATCTCTGTGCTTCATCAATTTTAAACTAGTTATCAACAACTGGTAATCACAATGGCTACATGTTACTTCAAATATTGAAGGCACTATGTTCGCCAAATCCATAAAATATGAATAGCTAACATTTCATGGCAACTATGTTGATGTATTATATTTGAACATCCATTTAGTCACTACCTCAGTATCAGAGTATTAAAAGAAGTTTCTATCACAAAAGTCGAATTTCAGGCATTTATTTTCAGCTTCACTTATATTTTATTTATTTCCAATCTTTCCTTTTCAAACTGATAAAGAAACCATAAAAGAAATATACAAACAGATTGTAGCAGCATGGCATGGGGAGGAAAGGGGAGGAGACATTTGACAGATGCCATAGGCAGGTAGATAGAAAAATTATCTTCCCGTTATGCTAAGATTCAAATAAACATTTGAAATAAGTAATTATACCAAGAAAATTTAAGACAATGAAGACACCAGTGTCAAGAGAATTCAAAATATGTCTCATTAGCACTAAAAAAGAAGTAGGTAACCTAAATATACTGCAATTTGACTGAAATGAACTGCTGTTGCCAGAATTATAATATGAGCAGGGCCAAACAAATTTGGCTTACTCTAACACATCTTGAATAAAATTCTGAATACAGCCTAGAATATATGGCTTATTTTACAAGACATTTATACATAGCTGTGATGGCCCAGGGTGGGATACAAAACAAACACAGTCAAAGAAAACAGGTAAAGCCCCTTTTATTCCTTCAGTTTGCTTCCAATTTCCAAATATCTTTGACGGAAAACAAAAAAACTCCCACACAGTTAAAGACACTGGCAAAAATGATGTTATAAGTCTTATTCTTCATCCAAGCATTTTCTCCATAAGTGTGTGGTCTGTACTTCTATTATACGCATATAAGTAACTTGAGAGACCATTTTCAACCACCCATACAAGCAGGGGTGGGATTCAATTTTTTTAACAACTGGTTCTGTGGGTGTGGCTTAGGTGGTGGGCATGGCTTGGTGGTCATGTGACTGGGTGAGCGTGGCTTGGTGGTCATGTTATTGGCTGGGCGTGGGCAACTCAATATCACTCACATCAAGGCACGCATCTCCTCACCTGGCCTCTCGTGACTGTGGGGATGCTGCAACAGTCATAAGTTTGAAAAATGGTCATAAGCCACTTTTTTCAGTGCCATTGTAACTTTGAATGGTCACTCCACAAAAGCAAAGTACCAACAAAGGAGGGGAAAAATACTCCACAGAAGTTCCTGAGACAGGAAGTCTAGTCCTGCCAAGAATGTAATAAGGGTTAATGGAGAGGCAGTTTCTGTAAGCAACACCAGAATGTTTCCTTCCTGCCTTCCTTACAGGATTAGGCCAGTAATTTCTTCTAACAACCGGTTCTCCGAACTGCTTAGAATGTTAACAATCAGTTCTAGTGAATAGGTACAAACTGGTAGAATCCCACCCCTGCATACAAGCCAGTAGCTTTGTGTCTTACTGAATAGGATATGATGCTGTTTGTGGCACTAGGCTGTATGGACAGGGTATTCTGATTACATACTATCCACTTCATTTATTTTGGGGCTCATTTTTTGGCTTGTGCTAAGAATTCACTGGATTATAATACTAAATTCTTCAATTTTCAATCCTTTGATCCGAGTTCATGAATTTGTAGCATAGCAACTATGGGTTTGTTCCAGATAATCTTTGCCTTGTACAAAGTGGTCATAAAAGAGATCTAGTTTTCACCTCTTAGTAATTGTATGATGATCTGAAAACTGATGATTTGGTTGTTAGTCTTTTGTTGTGGACCATTTCCTGATTCACCTAAGATTAGTTGATACCTCAAATTCCTGCAGGACATGAGAACCATTAAAGAAGTCTGTCCAAGATATAGTACTTTATACATTTGAAGGATTGCAGCAGGCGGTTGGGACTTTTTCCAGGAATCTGGTAGGCAATTTTGCTGAACACCAAATTCAGTCCAGAATGTGGAAATAATGAGAGCATTTGATGATAATTCTCCTAAGCAGCCTCTTATTGTTTGCTTATTCTGAGATGCCAAGAAGCTCTGAAAAATAGTTTCCTGATGTATATGTGGAAATAGACTAGTAGCAAACTTCACTAAACAAACTCACATTCAAGAGTAACCTCAGGAACAAGTGTGAAAAAACATTCTTTCTTCTTTGCATTTATTGCATTGCAAACACTGCATCAACAATCTTATTTAGGTTAATCTGCTCCTGTTGTTTTAAAAATATATTAAGTGGGCAATGTCCAGGGAATAAACTAAGACAATTTATTTGATTGCAGAAAAATTAAATGAAGCTTTGTATTTCTTATTGATATATAGAATACACAACCAAACCATTACTAATTTTCTCTGGGAAGAATCAAAATAATTAAAGCAAGCTGAGATAATAAGTATATTGTGCAACATCATAAGAAACCACATAATAATTAATCATTGGACCACAATGTCAATCGCCGTCTTTAAAGAACTGAATAGTGTTTTTCACCTCTGAATGTAAATTATTCTTTGAATACCACATGGATAGAAGTGATTCTGTTGAAATTGTACTCTTGGACTTTCAAAGAGTTTCTGACTAAGTTCTTCATCAAAGACTTGGAGTAATCTTTGCATCATGGAATAACAGGCTCTTTTATGAACTGCTAATTGGTTTTTTTAAAAAAGCAAAGAGAAGAAAAATGGACAATTTTCTCAAAAGAAAGAAATGAAATGAAATAAAGCATTTATGTTGGGGCTAATTCTTTTTAATTTGTTTAGGAATTAGAAGTAAATTAGAAAATAAGTGAAGCTGGTCAAGTTTGCAGTTAATCATATAGTAGTGGAAAAACAAAAATTGTGAAGTATTTTAAACTGGGTGCATGGTCACCCAAGTGGCAAATGATTATCAATTTAAATAAATACAAAGTGATACATAAGGAAGATGGAAAAGAAACAAACATCACATATACCAGATTGTCTATAACTAACAGGAAATAGACCTTAATGTCATAGTGGATACTCAATGAAGAATCAACTCATCCAGTTATGAGAAATGACACATCCATGCTATGGAATCAATAGGAATAAAACTGGAAATGAAATTGCCAGAATTATAATGTGTTTATATTTCAATCTATATTCAACTATATTTCCAATACTGTATTTGGTTCTAGTCATTATATTTAAAAAGGGATATAGAAGAATTAGGAAAACGGAAAGTAAAGTCATCAAGGGCTCAAAAAAGTGCAAATGATCGGAGTGATATAATTGAGTTATACAAAATTGTGCATGGAGAAACTAAACAGGGATAATTTCCCCCTCTCTCAAAGGACTAATACAAGCATTCCCCTGATGAAAGTGATTGGAAGGAGGTTTAAAATAGGGGGAAAAAATGTTTACTTATGTTATAACTACCCTGTACAATCTTAAAATCAGTAACCCTCATTTGAAGAACACCCTGAAACTATAGTTTATTCAGAATATGGCAACACAAACAATTATGACCACATTTTAGTGCACCCATGTCACACTATTATTTCATGAATTGTACTGGCTGACACTGGGCTTCCAAGTACAATTCAAGGTGATGGTAGTTGCCTATGAAGTTCTTCCTGGCATACTATATGGTTATTTATGGAATCATAGGTCTCCAATTGTCTCTGCCTCCCATATACATCCTGGCAAGGCTGACATATATCAATTAAACAATGCTTTCTCTGTAATAAACCCTTCCCTGTGGAACAATCTCCCCACCCCATAAATACAATTATTTTACCAGCTCTTAAGAATACCCTGAAGACATGTCTTCTCTCAGATGCTAGCCCAGGAAATTAGATGAATGAACTGTATGAGTCCTTTGTCTGATCCTCTTCCACAGTATGTTTTACCTTATTAAGTTATTATGTTACCATTTTGTTTTAGGATGGTTTTAACCAGGGGTTGGATTCAAATTTTTTAACAATCGGTTCTGTGGGCATGGCTAGGTGGGCGTGGTCATGTGACTGGGTGGGCATGGCTTTTTTGCTGCAGTAGCACCCCTCACAGTCCATTCTTGGAGCGATGTCACACAGGATTGAGAAGGGAGGGAAGGGTTGGGCGGAGAGGGGCAGGGCCAGCCAGGGGCACAATTTGCTGGTTCTCCAAACTGTGCAGAATCATAACAACCGGTTCTATAGAACTGGTCCAAACCAGTAGAATCCCGCCCCTGGTTTAACCCTTACATTTAGTTAACTAAGTTGACAGAATCACTTTATGGGAGGAGATGGGCAGCATATAATTTTAATTAAGCAATAGTGGAAGACCATATAAATTAAGGAAATAAATCATGAATGAATGGCCGACCTTTACCAGACCTAACTGCCAATCCTAATTTTTTTTTCTTTATTTATTCAGAGATACTAGCAACAATAATCTTTTTCAGATTACTTTTATTCTAAAAATCCTTGGTTCATATCTGTTCTTGTATCCTATATATACTTCCATAAACCCAAACCATTTATATAACTTCAATATTTCAGTACTGGCAGCTTCCTAGAATCTTCTCTACTATACTTAGAATAATAATACTTAAAATAATATTTTTCCACCACTCCTAGTAGAAATGACTAGATGACATTCTGCTCATAGAAGCGTCAATCTTACAGGGAACCTAAAGATTTATTTTCCCCTTCTTCAGAAACAGAAATACTTCAGGGCATCTTCAGGCATCATTTTTATATAAGTATGATTTCTGAAAGTACTCCTGCTAAATTGTATACATTGTTGTGTAAAGATGAGATTATTTTACATATAATGAAAGTCAATGCCATGTATATAATTCTACACAGTAAAACAGATTTGGTAAAAGCAAAGCTAGATGGCATGTTTTCTGAGGGAGTCCTGAGCAATAAAAGAAAAGTAGCAGTTTTATAAGAAAATAATGGAATATATACTTTCAAACAATCGAAACAGTCAAATCAACTAATAAAGGCATATTACACAATGCTGGAGTAGCTTAATCATTTTCTTTTTTTAGGATTACCCTCATGTACTTTATGTGATCCCTCCCTCCATTTTTTTTATATCCAAGTTATTTATTGCAAGACATCATTTCAGTTAGTAGACAGCAAACTTGGATACGTCCTTGAGAAGAATTAGGGGCAAAAAAACTCACCAGGATGCCATCATTATGCCTGTGTCAGCAACTGGGCATTGCATGACCCCTGCCTCTAATCACCTCTTCATATTGTACAATGACACCAAGAATTAGTTCGTATTGCCTAAAGTTACCTAGATTGCTTCAAGTAGGCTATTATTTGCTCGCCTTAATGTAACACTCCTTAACCTCTCTAAATTAAACCACTGTTGTGTTAGAAAACACAAGTACGGGGCTTCCTGGCTTCCATCGGCACACTACAGTTTCAGCAATCTGGAAACAGAATGGCTCAGTGACCGAGCATTGTGGCTCTGGGAGGCAAGTGAAGCTGCTTTAAAAACAAGAATAGCTATTTGTATAGGTTCCATAAAATAGAAGGATGTATAGATAATCTGGGATGTTCAGGGTATCAGACATCTTTGATAGATAGAAAGAGATAGCAAACTTTCCTATGCAGGCAAGATGTAATCCAAATAGGGATGAAAACTATTATGCGCAGTAAACTTTCTGAAAGCTTATTAGTCCCCTCCAGTTTTCCAGCTCTTAGACAATTGCAGACTAAGACAATCAATTGGAAGGTTGATTGGTTGATATTATTTGAAATGTTCACCATTCCTAATTACCACCCTTTTCCTTCCATATCAAATCATGCTAGACTATAGAAGTGATCTTTTTAAAGGATGATCTAAAAATGATTTTGTCCTTCTGCTGAAAAGGCTACTTATTATATATTTATAATCTGCAGATTATTCAATGCTTATGAGAGAATAGAGAGTATTAATTGTATTTGTGGTGTATGGACAAAAGGGGTAACAATGATTGCTTTGCAAATTAAGACATTTGTGTGGGAAACTGTTTCCTCTCTTAGAGCTCAAAGAATCTTCAGCCTGCCCTTATCATGCTAACTCTCCTTATTCTCTGCAGATTTACAAAATATATTTCTTTCCATGGAATCAACTACAAAGAAATTCCAGAGATGGAACCCTTAGGAAAAGAAAAATATTTCAGTAATTTATGTTCTTCATCACACTAAATATTGTGCTAACTTATTCCCAGATTAAGTCTCACTGAATCAAATCAAGAAGGGAGGTTCAGAAAAGGGGGGAAAATTCACTTAAATAGTTATGTGATGAAGAAACGTGTGTATTACTGATACACGAAACAAGATTGTATGTCAAATACACTGTTTTCTATTTGCTCAGCATCTTGCTCTCTGTGCCTCTAACTGCTTGAACCTTTATATAATATCAAGGAGACAGCGTGCCTGCAAAGAAATCCAAAAATCTTCATTTGCAATCCAAAAAGTTCTTAATCAACAATGAAATTGAAAGGGGAAAAAAACCCTTACCTGTCATCCACAGGAAAGTGGTCCAGCCCAGTAAGACCCTGTCCATCGTGTAGTCTGTCCAGGCAGAAGAACAGCAGGGAAGGAAGCAGAGCCAGAAAGTAAATAAAGCTCCTTGTTTTGAATACTGTGAAGTGGCACGTAAAGGAGTTCTTTCCGTTATCTGCAGGTCTTCCACACAACTCAGTGTGTGAATAGACAGAGTTCTGAATGGGAGCTACCATTCTGCTAGGGGGAAACAAAAGCATGCAACGCTCTATATTAATAATACTGTGCTCTCGTTTTATTTACCAATCTTGGGGAAGGGAGAAAATCACTCTTAGCCAGTTGTTTTGCTCAAACCGAATCCAGATTGAAAATAAGCTTAAATCTTATCATGTTTTAAAATATCACCTCCCCTGACATCATTCTTAGATTACAAGAGTTTCTAAATCACATGGCAGTCCATTGAAACTGTCTAGGAACAGAGAGAGTTCATCACTGGAAATTCTTAGGGTCACGGAGCCTAAAAAGACCCAACTGTATCTAAAAAGGCAGTGAAAATTAAAAGAAGAGACTAATGTTTAAACAAATTTGCATGATTTTCACTTCATACTTTTACAACACTGTAGAATGAAACTGAAAAAGGAGCATTTATCTATAACTTTGTATTTACATCAATTAGAGAGGGGAAAAGGGTCAGTAATGAAAATTCTGTGACCATTTCCTTCCAAGTGATTTATAACGTTTTCATAGCATCTCCCAGCCATTGTTGAAAGTGTTTTTGTTTTTGTCAATTGCTTACAAGAGAATAGGTATAAGTAAAAACATAGTTATGAATACATGGATACATATAAAAAAATTTAAAAAAAGAAACAATAGGACAGGGACAGTAGGCACGTTGGTGCGCTTATGCATGCCCCCTACAGACCTCTTAGGAAAGGGGTGAGGTCAATAGTAGACAGTCTAAGGTTAAAGTTTCTGGGGTTTGGGGAAGAAACCACAGAGTCAGGAAGAGTACTGCAGACATTGACCACTCTGTTGCTGAAGTCGTATTTCCTGCAATCAAGTTTGGTGTGGTTTTCCTTGAGTTTGTATCTATTGTTTGCTCTTGTGTTGTTATGCTTGAAGCTGAAGTATTGACAGGTAGGACATTGCAATGTATGATTTTATATACTATACTTAGATTGGACTGAAGGCAGCATAGTTCTAGGTTTTCTAGGTCTAGAATTTCGAGTCTGGTGGCATAAGGTATTCTGCAACAAGTAGAGGAGTCGAGAACTCTTCTTGTGAAATATTTCTGCACTTTCTCAACTGTGTTAATATCAGATAGATACGTAATGTGGGTTCCAGACTGATGAGCTGTATTCAAGTATTGGTCTAGCAAATGTTTTATATGTTCTAGTTATTAGTGTAATATTGCCAGAGAAAAAGCTACATAAGATTAAGTTAACAACTCTTAACACCTTTTTGGCTATGTAGTTACAGTGGGCTCTAGCACTTAGATCATTAGAGATGAGTACTCCAAGATCCTTGACAGAGTTTGGATCTTCAACAAGGTCTTGACTATTCAGCCTGTATTTTATTTTCTGATTTTTTTTGCCACTATGTAAGACAGAGCATTTATTTGTTGAGATTTGAAGTTGCCATTTGTTTGACCATTCTGATACATAGTCAAGGTCTTTTTGAAGAGTAGCAGTATTGTCTGTGGTGTTGAATAGCTTTACATCATCAGCAAAGAGAACGCAGTTGCTCTTAATATGATCACAGAGGTTAAGTAGAGTATAAAGAGAGTTGGTCCTAGTCAAGGTCTTTTTGAAGGGTAGCAGTATTGTCTGTGGTGTTGTAAAGCGTCTCCTCGATAGTATTATTTTGGCACAACACTGATTGAATGACTGTAAAAAACACTAAGTTGCTAAGGGAGACGCCATTTGTAACAGGTAAGTGCAATTATCAGGCACAAGCTGTTAAAATTCTATAGATTGTTCTACTGTTCCTGTTCTTATTCTATTGGATCTAGTGGTGAAATCTCCTTCAAGCTGTAATGTGCAGCAAAGTAGTTGATATGTTATTCAAATATGAATGATTTCCCATATACACTTGATACATTTAATAACGGCAATCTGATAGGATTGCCGTTAGGCAGGATGATACTGTACGCATTATTCTATATGCTATCGTTCCCAAACATTTATAAAAATGTTTTAATATGCAATTTTCCTCTTTTTTTTTCCCCAATCCAAAACTCACTGGCTGATGTCCCTGCTGGCAGAGCAAGCATCAAGTCATGAAGCACCAACAGATGAAATAAATGTAGCTATAAAACAAGTATATCTCAGTTTGGAATAATGACACAGCCTCCACTGACTAACCCAATTAATTCATTTTTATTTAAATCATTTGCATTCAAAACCCATTCTAGTAATATTGTCTAGTATATTGCTTTTTTCACTGGGTAAGGGATTTTTTAATCTTAAAAATGTATTTATTTATACTTCTTAATAATATGGCTGAAAAAGAAGGACAAATGCAAATTAAACTGTAACTGAACTTTCTCTCCTTTCTCTCCTAAAGTATTACCACCCAGTGCAGAACGGGTACGGTATTTTTAATGACTTTGTTTAATTGATGTTGCTCAAAGGGAGGATATATAAACTAGTAATATGTCCAAAATCAGGGAAACAATTATTCTTATTTGTTCTTCAACATTGGCATCCCTGAGGCAACCTATCTTCCAAGTACCATTTTTTAGCAGCGGGTACTAAATAATAGAATCAGAAAGGGAAAAATGTCACTTAGATCATCAAGTTGAAACCCCTACCCATAAAATAAATTCAAATTAAAACAGCCCAGACCTATGATTGTGTTGCCACTTCTTGACGATATTCTACCCTCTCTCTCTCTCAATAAATACTTGCACTGCTGAAGTGCTTTTACATTGGAAAGGCAGATTTTTATATGGTTGGAATTATCACTACTGTAATCAGTTTTCTAAGTCTGCACTCAAAAGTAAATGAACTTCAATTTTTAAAGAATGCTACTATATTCCCATTCAGTTATTTTTTTCGCCCTGAAACTGTTTTACTGGAAACTTTCTTTCCAGTCATATCACATGGCTGGCTAATATGTTGCAATCAGTACTATTCCAATCACTTTTTCACAATTAGTATTATCCAAATTATATCTGAGCTCATTTTGTTTCCAAAGTAAAGACACCTGTATATGTCTACATCAAATTTCATTCTGTTATTTTCAAACCACTTTTCCAACTAGCAAACTCATTATGAATGCTATTTCTGTGTTCTTATATACAAGTATCCATCCCTATTAATATACAAATCACTATTAAAAATAATGAATAGTCGAGGATCTCAAACCATCTCAGATGGGACACCTCTCAATACATTTCCCCAATCTGATGAGAAACCGTTAATGAGCACTTTTTGAGCACACTTTTTGAGCAATGTATTTATTTCCTTATCCAGTCCACACAACATGCTAATCAAGTTATTGTGGGAGACATTGTTAAATGCTTTGTGGAAGTCAAATGGAATTATCTACATCATAACCATAATCCATTAAGTAAGCTACCTTCTTTCCATGTTTTTGTTCTGTTGGCTCCACCTGGGGACCTTTAATTACTGTTTGGAACTCTACAGCAGGGGTATCAAACTCAAGGCCCGGGGGCTGGATCTGGCCCGTGGGTGCTTAGATCTGGCTCACAGGGCCCCCTGGAAACAGCAAAGGACCAGCCTGTGGTGCCTCTGCCAGTGAAAATAGATCTCGGGATGGCTGCATGCAGCCTCCCCTGAGCTCCGTTTTTGCTGCCAGGGGGTTTCAGGAGGCTGTCGCAGCTGAAAATAGAGCTTGGGAGCCTGTTTTTGCTGGCAGAGGGCTTGGGCCACCACAGGCACCCCAGCACAAGTGACATCGAGATGGCCATACCCACCCTGCTACACCCACCCCAGCCCACCACGGTCAAACACAACCAGATGTGGCCCTTCATGAAATCAAGTTTGACACCCCTGCTCTACAGAATAAGCATTTCTATCCCTTTAGCTAATCTAGCAAATAAACATTGACAGCTGTCAGCAAGTACTTTGGCTTTATACCAGCTTGGTTAGATTCAAGGAAGCTCAAATAATTTTTCTTAACTTAAAAAAAATCATCTCTTAAAGATTTAATGGTATTTTCTCCTTTTCATAGCAATACAATGGAAAAAGGTTAATGGAAAACATTTACATAAGTCAATAGACAACTCTGTAGTAATGTAAACAGAATCTACAAGATCCAATGTGGATCAGTCACCGGGACTAGAGATTTTGTCTTCCCAGCTTTCAGAATCATGCTGGAGTCCATCCTCAGAGAACTTCTCTCTAGAAGAAAAGTTTTCTCTAGAGAGAAGTTCCCTGAGGATGGGCTTCAGCATGAGTCCAAAAGCTGGAAGACAAAACTTCTGGTCCCTGGGACCGATGCAAATTGGTCCTGCAACATTACCATTTGCCTTCATTTGTGACAGAATCTACAATTGGAACGTTAAAGATACTTCTACACTAAGCCTGCTTTCATAAACATGCATTTAATTTTCAGATCCTCTGATTCCATCCCAACCATTGACTTCAGATTTATTTTGGGTTGAAACAGAACATTTGGGAAAACTATTTTTTCCCACTGTCAATATAAATCTACCTATAGATTGTAGATGCATAGAGAAATACCTAATTCAGCTATCAGATATACTGTATTTTACATTATGGTAAAAAGGAATGACAACAATTCAATATAGGAAGATGGATTTTCTCTGAACATAACTATAAATATTTCTAAAGCTGTTTTCTTCTATTAGTAAATCAATAGCAATAGTACTTAGACTTATATACCACTTCAAAGTGCTTTACAGCACCCTCTGGATGATTTACAATGTCAGCATATTGATCCCAACAATCTGGATCCTCCTTTTACTGATCTTGGAAAAATTGGCAGCTGAGTCAACTTTGAACCCCGTCAGGACTGAACTCCAGATTCTGGGCAGACTTTGCATGCAATACTGCTTTCTAATCAGTGTGCTACTAAAGCTCAATCAAAATAATCATACTTCTATAAAAGCCATGTATTGTATTGCACTTTCTCCAGTGCTTCTACAGGAATAAAATAGCAGATTAAGAGATACTCAGTAAT